CCCCAAAACCCCAAAACCCCAAAACCCCAAAACCCCTAAATTCCCAAAAATATCGAATATTATAATAATTTATACTTTAAGAACTCCATTTGGAAATGTCTGACCAAGAAGAAGGCGAAGTTATTGATAATAGGGGGAGTATTCAGAAGGTAGATCAGCTGTCTTTTGGATCGATTAATAATAGCTTAGATGTTGTGAAGTTATTAGTTGGACTTCTTATTCGGCCGCATATTGGCAAGAATTGTGAGAAAATTTGATACATAGATTTAGTATAATCTTAAAAATTAGTGGATAGCTTAGCAGTAGGTCATCTCCTAGGGATGCTATGCATCCCTAAGGCAGATCAACTATTTGAAATTAATTTATTGAAGCCTATAAGTCTTTGTTTCGTTCACTTCCATCACTGATGCTTTGCCTCTGTAAGTTTTTTACTTGATTAACACTTTAAATCACATGAAAATTTGCATAGATTTCTTTCTAATTTTAGGAAATGAGTTGTTACCCTCATAAGTCCTTCCCAAATTCTAATTTTCCTCTATAGGGAATAGAAAAATCGTAAGTTTCTTATCATCCAGAGTCTCATACATTGAGATTCTTGATATTTGAGTCGATTTTTGATGCTATAAATAGGGTCAAAAATAAATCAAGTAAAAAGAGTGAGAGTAAGCCAACTTCTAACTCGTTTTGTAGAGAGAAAGAAGAATAGGCAGAACAAGTCAAGGGCAAATGGTGATGAACAAAATGACTCTGTCACTAACTCTTCTGATGATTTTAACTTCGGTGAACTCAGTAGGTCCAAGGTTTGGCCATAACGGACTTATTTTTATTTAGAGATGCAAGGGCACAAAAAGAGCAAGAAGAAGAGTAGAGCACGTCCTGAAGAAGATGGCTATGGGCCATCCAAAAGAGACCCTTACAGCTCATATAGACCCAGTAAGAAGTCTAAGAACACCTATCACCAGCAAGGAGTTGAAGAAATAGGGTAGGTTATTTATTGTTAAACTATTTCTTCGACAATTTGGGCAACTATTCCAATTAATAGAATTTTATCAAAAGCATTTAGGGAGCAATATCAAGTATCAGCATCCAAGCAGATGCCTCATAAGAAAAGAGACAAGAAAGCCTTTGAGAAAGATATGGAAATTCCTAAATCTAATGTAAGGCAAATAAATTATAATTTTCAGGAGCTATGAAAATTCTTCAAAACTGGATCATGCCAGAAAGGAGACGACTGCCCCTTTTCTCACAACTTGAGGCATCATCCTTGTAAATTCATTCATGCAACAGGAACGTGCAAAAATGGTGAGAATTGAGAGTTTTCCCATCAAAGGCTAGAGCAATATGAAATTATGCCATTTATTGAAGAAAATGAAGAGTTTCTAGACCAAGTTAATAGTGATCGCGGAACTACGAATCTGGGCATATATTACAACCAATTTAAGATGGAGAAGGAGAAAAGAAAGCGAGACAAGTTCAGAGAAGAAATCGAGGCTCAAGTCAAGAATCTTGCCCTACCAGATGAAATGAAGAGAGACTTGGTCATTAAGAAGGTTGAAGCGATGTTCCCTAATAATAGGACTCGTGACAACCATAATTTAGAACCTCACCCTCACAATAATCAACAAATGTTTGACAATTTTAATGGAGTTCAAAGAATGCCAATAGGCAACCCAAACCAAGATATGAGATTTAATATGAGAATCAATGATAATGGCATGCAGAGAAATGATGGAAGAATGCCAAATACAATGCCAAGACAGCTCCCACCTCAGATGCAGATGAGTATTCAAAACCAACATCAAAATATGCTAAACAATCAAAGACTGAAACATGCTCAAAATCAGATAGGTATCCCAATGCCAGGAAAACTACCTCCTCAGATTGAAAACCAAATGAGAACCCAAGTGCCAAGAATGGATATTCCTGGAGGACATATGCCATTAATCCCTTCCAACAACCAAGGCCGGCCAGAAATCCAACACAGGGGTAGAAATTTCACAAATTCCAGAGACAACCTAGCTCCCACCACCATCTCCAGAAACCCATATAACTCACCAAGAATGTCTCAAAACCCTCGAGGACATCCTCAGAACCAATTCTCCCACTCTCCATCACGCCTACACAAAGAACCCCACCAACCCCAAAGAGAAAGAGGTTCCATAAACCCTCGTAACTTCCCCCAAACCACCCTCCAGCACCACAAAATTAACCAAAACCCTAGCCCTTCAGATGACTTCCAAGATGAAAATTTCTTCCCAAAGTAAGTAAAGCCCTATAATCTCCTATTTCTCTCAGTTCTACAAAAGTTAACTCATAATTTAGGAACAGCCAGAAAGTAGAGTTCAAGGACCAGACAGATGAGATAAAGGAACTTGTCAGATTAGGTATACTTCCTGAAGATTATGAAAACATATCAGTATCCGACGATTCAGATTAGTAATGATAAGAGTTGTTAATTGAGATTCAAATTTACGAGATGTTTAGGGGTTTTGGGGTTTTGGGGTTTTGGGGTTTTGGGG